AGGCTAGTGGTAAGCTTGATGAAAGGTTTCTTAAGCACCACACGCCACCTCCACGCCGGTCTCTGCCATTCTTTCCTGATTTACATGATGAACTGAGTAATCATGGGGCAGACCCTTCTCTACACGGCTTTCCACACCCCGATCACTGAACTACAGTAATGTGATGGGGGTTAGGGGCCGTGGTTATGGGAGGATGCCTCGGGTGGAGGATGCGCTTGCGAGCTATCTCTCCCCTCGACTTGCGTCCTCCCTGGAGAAGCCGGCGTTACCATCCAAACCATGTCTCACCACATCCACGCTCGTGGGGAAGCCCCGCTGAGGCTCCAGGGCATCCGGATTTCAACTTCATTGATGACTGGCTCATCCTAGCCCAGTCTCGAGAGTTGGCGCTCGGCATCGAGATGTCGTTCTGGCTCATCTGCGGCGTTTAGGGCTGAGGCTCAACGCAAAGAAGAGCGTACTGGCGCCCACCCAACGGACTACGTTCCTAGGGGTTGTATGGGATTCGACAACGATGCGGGCACAATTGTCTCCGGCACGTGTCGACACCATATTGGCTGCCGTGAAAGGGGTGAAGTTAGGCCACGCCATCACTATGAAACACTTTCAACGAGTGTTGGGACTCCTGGCGGCTGCGTCCAGCGTAATACCATCTGGACTGCTGCACATGAGACCCCTGCAGTGGTGGCTAAGGAACAAGGGTTTTTCCCAGAGGGGAAATCCTCTCCGTCTGATTTGGGTTACGCGCATGTGTCTTCGTTCCCTATCAGTTTGGAAGGAAACTTGGTTCCTGTCCCAGGGGCCTGTGCTGGGAGGGTCTTGTCGCCGGCTGGTTATTTCGACAGACGCCTCCCTCACGGGCTGGGGCGCGGTCATGGACGGCCGCTTTGCAAGGGGATCCTGGCAGGTGCATCAATCCGAGTGGCATATCAACTGTCTTGAGATGTTGGCAGTGTTCCAGGCTCTAAGGAGTTTCCTGCCCGATCTCCAAGGCCACCACGTCCTGGTTCGTTCCGAAGAGAACAACACAGCAGTGGTGGCCTATCTGAATCACCAGGGCGGTCTGCGCTCGCGCCCTCTGGACAGACTGGCGCGTCAGATCCTCCTGTGGTCCCAGCAGAGGTTACTATCGCTCAGGGCGATGTATCTCCCGGGGACGCAGAATCAGGGAGCAGACCTGCTGTTGAGGCAGGGGCTGAGGCCCGGGGAATGGAGACTTCACCCCGAAGTGGTGGAGCTCTTGTGCGAAGAGTTCGGCCCCATAGACGTGGATCTGTTTGCGTCTCAAGAGACTACGCACTGCCCGCTATGGTTTTCTCTCGTTCCTCCAGCCCCGTTGGGTCTGGACGCCATGGTACCCGAGGCTACGTCTGTACGCCTTTCCCCCAGTCGCTCTGCTCCCGGTGTTCTGGAGCGGGTCCGCCAGGACAATGTCGGCCTACTGCTCGTAGCCCCGTTCTGGCCAACCCGGGTGTGGTTCTCGGACATCATGTCGCTCCTGGACGGCCCGCCGTGGCGGGTCCCTCTGAGGAGAGACCTGCTGTCCCAGGCGCAGGGCCGGGTTCTTCACCCTTGCCCCGCCATATGGCGACGGTGGTTCTGGCCCCTGAGGGGGCACAGTACCTAGAGGCGGGTCTAACAGCCGGAGCAGTCGAGACCCTCCTGAGCTCCAGGGCCCCGTCCACACGGAGGATGTACAGCCTGAAGTGGAGTGTTTTCTCCACTTGGTGTAGGGAGCGGTCGGTGGACCCTGTTACCTGCCCGGTGGTTCAGGTACTTGAGTTCCTCCAGGACCGGTTCTCTGCTGGTCTTTCCCCTTCCAACCTCAAGGTGTACGTGGCAGCTATTTCGTCTTTCCACACCCCTCTGAGGGAGGGGTGATAGGGGAAACTTCCCTTGGTTGTACGTTTCCTCCGTGGTGCCCGGAGGATGAGACCTGCGACTCGGTCCAAGGTTCCCACTTGGGATCTGGCAGTGGTTCTTGGGGCGTTGGCTGAGGCCCCCTTCAAACCCCTGGAGTCAGCTGAGGCTAAGCACTTGACCCTCAAGATGGCCTTTCTACTTGCTATCACCTCTCTGAGGAGGGTGGGGGATCTCCAAGGGCTTTCGGTTTCCCCGCAAAGCCTGGAGTTTGCCCCGGGGAATATTAGGGCTATCCTGCACCCTCGTTCAGGATACATCCCTAAAGTGCCTTCTTGTGCGGCAGGGTCCACAGTGCTGCAGGCATTTCATCCTCCACCTCATGTGACGGCGGAGGACGGGAGACTTCATCTGCTCCGCCCTGTCAGAGCACTGAGTATTTACACTCTGAGGTCCTCCCGTTGGAGGAAGGCTGACCAGCTGCTAGTGTGTTTTGGGTCTCCCAGGGCCGGGCTCCCTGCATCCAAACATACTATTAGCAACTGGATTGTTCAGACTATTTCCCTGGCCTATCAGGTGCGCGGTTTGCCTTCACCTGTGGCTGTGAGGGCTCATTCTACCAGAGGCAGGGCGGCCTCTCGAGCCCTCCTTTCCGGGGCCTCTTTGCAGGATGTTTGTTTAGCGGCTGGCTGGGCCACTCCACACACATTCATTCGGTTTTACAGTCTTGACCTTCCTTCGGCACCTGGCACTCGTGCGCTCTCCTCTTAGTCGTGCCACTTTATTGCACACAGGGGCAGGCGGGGTTTTCGGCACGGTTTAGTGGGTATCTCGTTCCCATAGTGTCGTAACCGACGCAGTTCGAGTTCCCTCGAAGGGGAACGTCTCGGGTTACGTATGTAACCCTGGTTCCCCGAGAAGGGGAACGAGACACTGCGTCGGCCCGCCGCACCTCTCTCCCCGCCTGAAGCGCCTGCTTCATAGTTTAAGCTAATGATAAGTGTGTACAGGTGTGCTTTATACTCCTCCGGTTATTCCGTCACACCTTACCGTTCTAGCAACAAGCCAATAGGATTGGAGTGATTTCATTCACGTTCAGACCTGCTTCGCCTAGAGGCGTTCCCATAGTGTCGTAACCGACGCAGTGTCTCGTTCCCCTTCTCGGGGAACCAAGGTTACATACGTAACCCGAGACGTTTCTTTACTTCAGGAGAGTTAGAGAGGAGTTTCTAGTTTTGAAGATGTATTTTAAAGGCTCATTTAGTTTATGTTCTCTACTTGGATAAAACTCTCAAGAATGCAGGAATAAAGGTCTGTAAAGACCCAGAGGCCCCGACACATGCTCTGTTTGGAGAGCGGGCTGACCAGGGACAAACTCCTGGGCCACTTGTTTGCCCCTGACCGTCCTCGACCTTAGAAACTTGTGTGGAGACATCTAGGAGACATACTGTCTATTCTAAAACTCACGTAGTAAAAGACTTTGTTAGACCAACGGCATGTCATCAGAGTTTGCACTGAAGACACTTCTGTGTTCACAAACGTGTTGCAGGGAGAGTCAGGGCCAAGAGAGACAGGAAATATCACAGCTCCCAAGTGTAACGTTAGGATAACTGAATACATTTGAGCTGTGGCTACATTAACTAGCAGCTGTTCCATCTTTTTATGGTGTGCAGTCAGTTTTGTTGTAGTTATATTATTCTCTGTCAATTCAAATCAGCTTTATTGGCATGAATGTAGAATGTTTGACTGAGACAGGCACAGACAGCATTTGTTCAACAACTTCCACAAAAAGGAACAAGATTTCACACAGCTTTTTTTTGACCCATAGCTTACCAGTGGTCCGCTCTGACCGACGAGGGTCGGCCAGCAGAAATGAAACCGGTTGCTAAATGTCATTAGCCGCAGCTAATGTGGAGCAACGTGGGCACCCTGTTTGGCTGATCAAGGCAGACCGCATGTGAGTGTCACGTTAGCTTACCTCGCCGCAGCAACCTGGATGGATGGATGACTAAGTATTTCTAAAATGACACTTAATATAATTTAAGTTGTTCCAAAACAACACATTGAATATACACTTAGTATAGTACAATTAAAATGTGATAAGTGCATCCAAAAAAAGTGCTACTTAAGTATATTTCTTTTTCACCTGGGACTCCCCTAATCTGAGCCCCTATGTCCCCATCACTTTTCAACACAGAGTCAGGCTCTGGCCCCCCCACCCTCCATCTTTGCCGTGAACCCCCGAATACATTTCAGGCACAGAAAGATTTCTTGCTTTCAGCCCTGACACCACAGACTGCAGATAAAAAACATATACGGCGGCAAACAGCACTGCGTTTCTGTGTCATGGAAACTTCCTGCTTAAAGTAATCCCTATGAGTAATTCCAGATGTACCTGTAATCTGATGACGTCTTTATTTTCTGTACTGTACCTGTTACGGGGCCCAGGGATGGGTACCTCAGTCACAGATATGTAACCTGTATGAAAGCAGGTGAAACAGCAGCAATGAAGAGACGGTGCGTCTCGTTTCCTTCCAGATTGCTTCTCTGGTTGTTTTATTAAACAACTCAAAATCATGTCAACACAACACGTTTCTGTTCTGAGCATTTCAGTTCAGTGTCCAGGTCCAATAAAGTTTCATCATATATTAACACTCTCACCGTTTCAATAAAACTTCTTCTCACTCTGGTCACTTACTGTTTCTGTGATAAACACATTCCATTGACTTTCACATTCAGTAATCATCTTTAGTCATTTAAAGACCTTTTCTCCTTACAGGATGTAACTGCTCTAAACACTACCATTTACGTCTAATATACATCTAATCTAACTTGAGCTTAGGAGTACTGCCCCTTTAATGTGTCAACACTGACATTAACCTTCTGTAATAATTACAGTCCACTGAAATGTAACTAGAAAATGTTCATGTTACATGTTCTAATCATATATTTAGCAGAAAACAGACGTATCAATATTCAGGTACCTGCTGTCAGTCATTTTGGCAAGGTGTGTTTTAACGTAGTTTATATTAATTATAAACATCTTATCAAACAGACATCTGGAATATCTACAGTGAACAGGAGCCGTCACAACACTTTCCCACCATAAACTTTAAACGTCCGGTATTCGTAGCGCCAACATGGCGTCATCGCGGGGAAACGTTGACAGGACAAACTGACTTCCTTTCTTTAAACATGTCAGAAATCATCGTACACTCTAAACGTTTAACAAAGAATCACGTTAGTAAAGCCTGATGTTATAAACTCAATAGTTAGGGTTATTTACAGTTTACCGACCTGTATGAAAGCAGGTGAAATGTGCTCACACTACCTCAGGTGTGCCACGTAACGGAATACAGCTACTGTTTTTGGATCCCGATTACGTAAAGCCGTCACCTGTAATCCGTTACTCCCCAACCCTGCTTACTGGCCACAACTTTGAGCAGCTGAGCTCAGCCGGGGGCTCGTCAGTATCTCCACACCTGATGTTGGAGTTGTGCTGAGTCCACCTTGAATCACTGAATTGTTGTTTCATGACATGTTTTTCTTTTGTGTCTGCTGTCTTTATCTCTATTTCATCTTCTATTATCTCTCCAGACTCTGTCAGGCTGCTGGACGGGACTAGTCTGTGCTCAGGCAGACTGGAGGTGAAGTCTAACCAGAGGTGGTCCTCAGTGTGTGAAGCTGACTTTGACCAGCAGGATGCAGAGGTGGTCTGTAGGGAGCTTGGCTGTGGGGCTCCTTCAGTCCTCCAGGGGGCGCTCTATGGAGAAGTGGAGGCTCCGATGTGGACCAAAGAGTTCCAGTGTGGAGGCCATGAGTCTGCTCTCCTGGACTGTAGAAGCTCAGGCTCAGCTAGAAACACCTGCTCACCTGGAAAAGCTGTTGGACTCACCTGCTCAGGTAGAAGAGGAGCTGCAGCTTTGATTTGCTTCATTTCTCTTCTGATGAAACTCACTTTATTGTTTTACTGATGACTCTCTGGTTTCTGTTCAGAGCCTGTCAGGTTGGTGGGAGGAGCCAGTCGCTGTGCAGGAACACTGGAGCTGAAAAATCAGGGAGACTGGAGACCAATGAGTGACCTTCTCTCTCTCTGGACCCTGAAGACAGCAGCTGTTGTCTGTAGAGAGCTGGACTGTGGCTCTGCTGTTTCTGTAGGACAGAGAAACGAGTCCTCAGTCAGACCTGTGTGGTTTGATCAGGTCTGACTGTGTTCAGTCTGGATCTGCTCTGAGGGACTGTGTACTATCATTTTCCTCTTCCTCCATCGTGGATCTCACCTGCTCAGGTAAGCCCATCAGTGACATCATGTATGACATCATGTATGACAGTAATGTCTCCAGTGTGTCCTCTCCTCTGTCTCAGTGTCTCAGTGGTTTCCATTGGAATGAACTGTAAAGTTCTCCAGGACAGTGACGTCCTAAAGTGTAGAGAGGTGGGCTTGTTTCTGGAAGCTTCACCTGACAGGACACACCTGGAGGAACCTGTCTGTCTGTCTGTCTGTCTGTCTCTGTGTTTGGGGACGTCCCACCAGGTGGATCCAGTCCCTCCTTTTACAGTCTGTCATCGCTCTGCTCCATGTTTGTTCCCCGTGTCAGACCTGTGACATCACTTCCTTCTTCAGGGGCCATTTTGTTGAACGGAGGGTGAATGTGACCTTTCATCATCTGTGTTTACAGACCTGCTGCTTCAGCCCAACATTTCTGCGTCCTCCTCCGTGGACGGGCTCACCGAGGCCCAGCAGCAGGGCTTTCAGGTGTCCAGGGGCTCCACCTTCACCATCAGCTGCTCCATCCAGCCACAGTACCCAGGAGGCTCCTTCCAGCTCGCCTTCACCTCCTCCATCACATCACACTACTACACCCAGCCAGCTGTCAATCACTCTGCCCACTTCCTGTTTCCTGCCGCAGAGCCCGCCCACCAAGGAAGCTACAGCTGTGTTTATCACGTCCATGTTTTTTCTCATGACTTCTCCTCTGAGAGCCGTCGGCTGTCTCTCACTGTCTCAGGTAAGCTGAAGCAGAGCAGCTGAAACGTCACCTTCACAGATCTTCTTATTGATTTCACTCTTTATCATGACAGCTACATAAACAGAGTCGAACTTCATTACAAAGGCTGCAGAGATCTACTGATTAGTTTCTGATGACAAACTTGATGTCGCTGCTTATTCAGCTTCCAGACCATGTTCTCCTACTTCTGTCCAACAACAACGATAAACACATGAACCCTCAAATAATCACGATTAACGTTACGTTAACTAGAAAAAATTCAGGATTAGAACTGAACATTTTAAATATTATAAATATATTTTTAATGACTCGGAGACGCAGGACGCGTCAACATCACTGCAGCTTCCAGCACACCTGTAGCTGGTAGCCATGACAACGCTGTTCCACCTTCTCATTGGCTGTAAGGGCAGCAGCTGGATTTGTGTTGCGTTTAAGCACAATAAATTATATTTGTTTCATGAACCCTCTTTAGAAACTGTGTAAAACATAAAAACCTGAGCAGGAAGTCAAGAACTCCTTTTCCACCACTGGTCCTAGTGTGGTAGGGAAACGCCCACATGTCAGCCCACATACACAAGTCTCACCAGAGTCCAGTTTTATTTCTACAGGCCAGAACCAGATTCTTTCCGGAGAACTTTATAATCTGTACAACAAAGGACCCCCTCTGTCCTCAGAGCCTCGATCCAGATAAACAAACTCCACAAAAAGGAGAAGCATCAGGAGGATCAGCAGAGGAGAGACCCCCCTTTAGATCAGACAGGCAGGAAACAGATGTCGTCTTTACAGAGCAGACAGACGGACCAGGAGGACAACAACTATATGAACAAACTCAATGAAGGTATCAAGTGCAAACATTTAAGATGATATGAAGTGGAAGGGGCGCCAGTTAGCTCAGCTGGTAGAGAGCATGTCGAGTCCTGAACACAGCAGCCCGGGTTGAAGTCCAGCCTGTGGCCCTTTGCTGCATGTCATCCCCTCTCTCTCCCACTGTTTCAACTGTCCTATCAAAAAATATAGAGGAAGTGAAGTTTAAGAGATGAGTCTCTGTCAGACCAACCTGGGAACCATCGGCTGTCGACTGGAGCTGATTTCAATGCAGATAAATTAATAGAAAGCTAAATCCCTGTCAGACGATAGCCGATGAGTTCCGAGACTGCATTTGGGCCGATGCGTTCCGCCTCTTTCCCTCTCCAAGCAGACCGTTTACCTGCATCCAACCAAAGCCCACTCAACTGTGATTGGTCGATCCTTCTGGGACTACAAACGGATTACAAGTGGAAACCAGAACATTTCCGATATTAAAACCTTGGCCCTTGCCCCCAGATTCTTCGCTCTGCCACCACAAAGCTCTTTACAGGTGGGCACTGCCCACATGAGGTTTCTACGCTGCAAACTAGTGGGCGGGGCCTCGTTAGGGGAATTCCGGCTTACGACTGATCATAGTATTTAAAAGGTGCTAATACAGGTGTCATTGCTGTGGATTAAGTAGGCCTACATAATCAGCCCTTCTCGAGGACCCCCTTTCAGCTGGAGGCTTTAGGCAGTTGAACTTCTTCTCTGGTTGCGACGGCTCTGCTTGTTTCTCCAGATTCTGCGTTCAGATATGTGTTGATAGAGATTCCTGACGGACTGAAGTGGTTTTGGGAGATTTCAGGTCTCTACAGTTTGTGTTTAATGGGAGCTGATGGACTCATGATGGTGTGTGATGTGATGTCTGTCCATGCGTTTGATCAGATCCAACAGGTCTTCTCGTCAAAGTGGTCGTCCTGCCGCTGACTCTGCTGTTGGTGATCGCTGCCCTTTGTTTCTACCGTAAGGTACTGACACACGTCTGTTGTTTAGAGGCCTGAGATGAAGCACTCGCTCTGTGTTTACTGACCTGAAGAAGAGGAGGAGTGATGCACTAACTCACATGTGTGTGCTGTCATGTCTCTCCAGGCCAGCAGGGGGCAGAAGCCGGGCAGGCAGGAGGACATCGAGCTGGATTATTATAACCCGGGTGTTTGTGCAGCTGAAGGAGGGCCGACTGAAGAGGAAGGAGCTCAGGGAGCAGAGTAGGACCTCCAAGGAGCTCATCTCAGCTGCCTCACAACCCACCATCAGCTCAGTCCAGGATTTTACTCTTTTCTAGTGATGGATAAGCCTCTGGTTCTGGTTCTTGGGGGGCCTTCACAGACACAGTTTGACTGCCTGACACATTTACAAGCCATATAGTAACATGATTTGCCTTTGCTTTCAGAGTGATAATGGTTAACTGCTGAGCTCAGATTACAAAAGTAGAACATTTGAAGAAAGATGTTTAATTTGAGATGCTGTCTTTATTTCTTTAATAAGTCCTGTATCTCTGCATCTATTGTGCCGGACCTCATCTTTGCCTCTAGAAACCTTTGTCTGGGTACGGACAGACATGTCTCAAGTCTCAAAATAACGCTAGTTTCCAGTACAGATGAAGCTAAGGTCCACTCTTTTGCTGTAAATTAAACCAAAAGCTAAAGCGTCCCTGACGACGCATTTGTGTATCTAGCGCACATGAGGGGAGGTGTGAAAAAAGGTGTGATGCAGAGGGGAAGGTCAAGAGTTTTACTTTTTATGCTTCTATCATTTTTAGTCAACGTTAAGACTTGTCTTCTGTAAGGACGTCTCATGTATGCATTCCCTGATGACATCAAGATAATCATTTTAATCAGGAAAGAAGGCACTATTTGCCTAAACGTCAGCAGCCACTGTGAAAATGAAAGCAACATCATTTTGAGATTAAAGAACAGAAGGAAGGTTTTTCTTTAAAAAAGGTGGTGACAACCCATGATTGATGTCTTTTCTGCTTCTTGTGTGTGATTTTCATTTGTGTGATGCATTTAAGATGTAGAAGAGAAGAAATGCTCATTTAGTCTTGTTTTTAAACTGAGACCTGCTGTATCTGCTCTGGATGCTTTGGAAATGAGAAGATTACACAATCACAGTTTGTTGAATCTACATGATGCGTTTTATATTTTTCTTGTTCATTTGTGACGAGAGCAAAGGGGTGTTGCAACTACTGGCAGGAAGTGTACGGTACCTATAAAGAAGAGGAAGGATGTGAGGTGAGAATGTAAGAACCAATCAGTGTGATGGCTAACTTATAGCAGCCAATGAACGTTTGGAAAAGGGCTGAGGTCCTTCCTGCCCATTATTATTTCAGTTGCTGACCCCAGAGCTCAAGAAGAATTAGGGGAAAATAAAGAAGAAAGGGCGAAAGAGGAGGAAAAGGGGGAACTTTTGGGGGCTTCTGTTTTTGCATTTGTTGAAAATAAATCAGTTTCTCTTTGGGTGCACGGCTGAAGAAACTAGAAAGAGTTTTTCGTCTCTTTTTGTCTTCATTTTCTTCCTCCTCTTCCGGACTGGTAAGTTAGTATTCTTCTACTTTAACATCCACACTGCCGACATTAACACAGCTCATTACAGATCAGCAGCAAACTGCTCCTTTAAGGAACTCCTTCCAGGTGATGTGTTCAGGGCCCTACTCTCTGCAACCTAAAGTGAGAGAGGAGTGAAGTGGCTGACCAGGAAACTTCTGAATCTGGAGTCAGACATTCAGTACAGACGCTCAGGCCAGTACCTAGTACTGAAACTAGCTCGTTATCAGAGGTGGCCCTTTTTCCTGAGTGCTATCTGAAGTCATAATGCGCTAAGGGCGCCCGGAGTTGGTGACCCGAGAGAGCGGGGTTTCCTTGCAGAAGGGCCGCTTGTCGCTACAAAGCCCATTGGTTCCTACTGAAGACGCCACTCTTTAAAAAGTCCTCACAAATATATAGTTTCATTTTAAAACTAAGTATCGGGGTCCAAACACCCGGCACAATTCAGAAGCAAAGCCGCGCCGACCCAGGCCGATCTGGAAGTCCTTCTGGAACAATGTCGGCCGAGTCCTGTTCTATATTAAATTCAAATAAAAGTGAAGCGTCGGCACAGATCCTCTGAATTTGGTTTCACAACACTCGATGTGCAAATCATATTTGGTATTTTCACCGACAATCCATTTTACAATATCTGGACCTTTACTTTGCCCTGACTATCCTCTGTCGCAGGCCCACTCTTCTCTTCTCTTCACCAGCAAACCTATCCCTCACCTACTAACCACAATAGCTCCTCCCAGTGGCCAGGAGGCTGCACTGCCGCATCACTAGGCACTAATGGTGTCCACAGCATACCTGTTGTGACTAGTATCAGAATCAACAAAATTACTTCTTCTAACACAGCTGACTTGTCCAATCTGATAACCGTTCCCTGCAATTCAAAACTGTCTTGGCCACTAATACAATCATTACTTGTTTAAAGGGTCAAAAAGGAGCAGCGCAAAATCTGGATAATATCCCTTTGAAAATGGCTTTGGTGAATGTACAATCACTTTCAAATAAAACTTTCTTCCTAAAAGATTTCTTTTTATTACGTGATTTGGATTTTCTATGTTCAACTGAGACTTGGCTTACTATTGGGGATCTAAGTCCTCTTTCTGAACTCTCCCCCAGTGACTAACTTTTTTAGTTCTCCCAGAACAACAGGTAAGGGTGGAGGTTTAGCAACTGTCGCTTTACATGCAGACTTCTGTCGGTAGACAACTATGCTAGCTTTGAAGTGCAATGTTTTAAAGTTGAACTGGCCTGCCCATTACTTTGTGCACTTTGTACAGAACAGCAAATTACTATTCATGAATATTTCTATCATTGTTTGTGCCCAACTTTGATAACATTTTAGTCCTTGGTGATTTTAACATTCATGTCTGTTGTCCATAGTGAGACTCATGCCCTTAGACAGGAATGCAGGAAGGCAGAGCGGAATTGGAAGAAAAATAAACTGCAAGTGTCCTACGAAATACTGGGAAACTGCCTAACATCGCCTAACAACGCCTGGTCAAAGCCTCAAAAACAAAGTCTTTCTCAGATATTATAGCTAGACATGCACATATCCCTAAAACCTTGTTTAGTGTAATAAACACAGTACTAAACTATGCTACTGCACTCCCTGATGCTACCTCTGAAATTACAGAAAAGTTCCTGAGGTTCTTTATTGTTATGGTTGACGTCATTAGATTTGGTATCTCACCTTCCGGTCTTGACCCATCTGAGCTAGTCCCATGCCTGTTTCTTTAAATAGTTTTGAGCCTGTGGCCTTGTCAGAATTGATCTATATAGCCTCACACATGAAGCCTACTTTTGTCCCTCCAGACACTGTCACCTCGTGTCTTTTGAAAGAGGTTTTAGATGTTCTTGGTCCTAGCCTTTTGTCTCTTCTAAATGGAATTGTTTCATCCACTTTTAAACATGCTGCAATTCAGCGTCGTATTAAAAACCCAATCTTGACCCTATAGATTTTTTATAATTTTAGGGACATTTCTAAATGATCATTTATGTCCAAAATATTGGAGATAGCGCCTTTCTAGTCTTTTTAACCCCTCAAAGCGCTTTTACACTACTTCCTCCATTCATTCACACACTGAACCTAAGTGCTCAAACAGAAACTAACATTCAAACACATTCATACACTGGCGGAACAGCCGCCAGGGGTAATTCAGGGTTCAGTATCTTGCCCAAGGACACTTCAACATGCAGCCTGGGGGAGCCGGGATTGACCTTTCCGATTAACGGCCAACCCCTGAGCCACAGCCGCCCCCTGCTTAAGCACTGCTTAAGGTAGTGAATGATTTGTTGCTGATGGAAAATTGGAAATTGTGCTACTTTACTCTTGCTTGACCTCAGCGTGGCTTTTGAAACTGTTGATCATAACATCCTCCTGGATGGCCTCCAGTAAGGGGTTGGTATCCAGGGTGTTGCGTTACAGTGGTTTCAATCCTACTTGAAAGATGGAACCTTTTCTGTTAACATTGGTAACATTCCCTTCTCTTCAGCAGCAATTAAATGTGGAATACCTCAATGTTCAATCCTGGGGCCAGTCTTATTTTCTTTGTATATGCTCCCCTTGGGCTCCATTTCCATAGACATAATATAATTACATCACTGTTATGCTGATGATACATAGCTGTACTTACCTCTGAAGCCAGGTGATTAAAAGTCCTTACAGTCCATTTTTAAATGTCTAAATGATATCAAGCATTGGATGGTAATAAACTTTCTCCAACTAAATGAGAATAAGACAGAAGTAATATTATTTGGTTCCCCTAATTGAGGAATTATAAAAAAACCTGGGCCCCCGGTCCATTAATGTACAACCCTTTGCTAGGAACTTTGGTGTTATCTTTGATTCTGCATTAAAATTCAACAAAAATATAAACTCTGTTGTCAAAAGTAGCTTTTTTCATTTAAGGACCATAGCAAATTTGAAATCCATACTCTCTGTAAAGGACTGGGAGACTGTCTTGCATGCTCTTATATCCTCTCGAATTGATTACTGCAATTCCTTGTACTCTGGGATCTGTCACTCATCTTCATAACGCTTGCAGGTTGTTCAAAATGCAGCTGCTAGATTGTTAACTGGTACAAGGAAGAGGGACCATATCTCCCCAATAATGGCTCTTCACAGGTTGCCAGTCAAATATAGAGTTGAGTTTTAAGATGCTGTTAATTGTTGTTAAGGCATTACATGGACTGGCTCATAAATATTTCAGATCTCCTAATGTTTTATCACTCTTCCAGACCCCTCAGATCACCAAACCAATCCCTTTTAGACATCCCACAGTCACAGTTGTATGAAAACAAAGGGAGATTGTACCTTTTCAATGGCGGCCCTGAGACTGTGGAATAAACTACCCCTGATTATTAGATCATCCCCCACCACTGACACTTTTAAGTCTCGTGTTAAAAATGCATTTTTAGTCTTTGGCGTTTGAGTCTGTTTAGTGGCACTTGCTCTCTTGTTATTTTATTTTTTATTTAACTCTCTTGTTTTTCTTATTGCTGTATGTCATTAATTGTTTGTATTGTTTTGATTTATCTGGTTTTAATTTTTATATTTTCTATTGTATAACTTTGTTCAGCACTTTGGTCAACTCTGGTTGTTTTTAATGTGCTTTATAAATAAACTTGACTTGACCATAACTCAGGAACCGAAGGGGAGGTTGTGACCAGGGTCTAAAATGAACTTTTGTCAGTGCCTGCCACAAAGTTAATCTTGTGTGTGTACATATGCAAAGACAATGTGGGACATGTTGCTCTGTTGGCTGTCAAGGTAAAGAAACTTCAATATATTAACTTCCATTCAGCCAAAATACAGTTTATGTAATTCTGTTTTCTTAGTTGGAAAATGTTTGGTTTCTTAGTATGTGCTTTGCATTGGGCAGAGAGAAAACATGAAGGTCATCATCTCATCATTACCAGAACAGGGCTGATAATTACCAGAAACTTTCTTTAAATTTGAGAAAAGGTTAAGATGGTTATCGATCGTTGCTCTGTGAGAAGAAAGAGGCATGATGGTGCTTCCTGCTCTAATTACCTTTAATGTCCTCCTTAGTTTGATACAGTGGGAGATATTAATGTCACTGAGTAATGTGGATGTATTATTGGCAACACGCTACAGTATGAGTACATGAATTATCATGCATGTAGTACTACATGAATTATCAGGAATGAATAAACACTTTTGTGTAACATAAAGGAACATTTTATTGCTGGAAAACCTTTTAATAAAAGACACAAATATTGTTGAAACTAGTGCTCCCTGAGAAAACGTAAGCTAAAATGTAGAAAACCTACAAAACTCAGAATGCATTGGGCCTGTTGCCTTCAGAGTCCACTCCCATTGTCTAACTTCCCAAACTCCTACAAACAGCTGTTCAGAGCTAATAACATTAGTCAAAGTAAA